ATGAGAAAAGAAATCAGAGTTGTATTAATAAACCCTCGGCACGTTTCGTTTCCACATATTTAGGTGATAGGATTGTTCAGCTGCTCACGAACGTGCTCTTCAAGACTCTCAGGATTGGTTAGAACGCCCGCGGTTGTAGCTAGATGAACCTGAATGAGAAGGCTAATTTACTTTCGAAAGTCGAAATGAAATTAAAGGCAGAGTTCACGATAATTTTGAGGTACCCGTTTCTATTCAAAAAGCGAAAGTACAGGTTGGTAATAGTACATCGGAAGTGAAGAAAGCGAGAGGATTCGCCGATTTGGAGGAAAATATGGCTCCTCAAAAGTAGGGAAAATAGAGGCTGGACGAGATTGCCATGAAGAAAATAATACGAAAGGAGTAATAGGACGAGATTTCAGTTACTGCGATTGCACAAAGAGCTGGATACAACAAGCCACAACTGTACAAAACTGTCTTTCACTGTTGCTATGGATCATGACAAGTTGCTTGAACTTCCTACATGGGTTTCCTTGTGATCGGTGCAGCCTCTACAATGCCGGTGAAAGTCGTCCGAGGATACACACGGGCTGATCTTTGAGTCTTTATAACTCCCTAACTAAGCCCTTTCCCGACCTAATAGTGCCAGACATGGTACACGGGGAGCTTCAAATTTATTCTGTGGGGGAACCTCAGAAACCATTGTTATCGTGAACTGTGCCTTTAAAGAAAAGCGATATATTAGTGCTCCATTAGGTGAATAATAAGTTAAATCTAGAAGCTTGAGCTGCCATTATTACACGGAGACAAATAACTTTGCAATGAAGCCTCTTTCAAAGTCTAGCAGCAAAGCATTAGATAAACCTCCATTTCAACCGTAAACTGCGATTAGATTCAATTAAGCGTTTCATTTCGGTTCGAGCTTGGAAATACCCGACAATGAATAATCTCATCTCTTCGAACGATAAGCCCTTTACGTCCTCACCTTTGACTAAAAGAGCTCGATCTTCTCCCAATCACTACTTACACCTGTATCATCTGTCGTCCCATTTATCATCGATTTGCTAAAGCAAGCGCGAGTAACATCCTCATTTGTCCCAGCCACGTGCCAGTGCAATCCCTTGGACCCTTTTCGCTCTAAAGACGCAAGCACATCATTTCCTTTCGCTCAGAACTTCTAACCATTACGCACGCGGCCCTTCAGGTTATTGCTGGATGTCCCGAGGAATAAAGCCAGAAAGCATACAAGGCTAATGGTCATATCAAATCGCACAGCATAACGTGGGTCAGAACCATATAATTTTCGATTTCATGGCCTCTGATCTCTGTTAGCCGAAGGAGCTCGGAATTCCCTATTACTATGCGCGCCGGCTAAATTCGGGAGATTCCAATGTATCCTTTTCCACACCACGCCGAATGACCCTGACTGCTTGTTCGTCCTGCTTGTCCAAGTCTCAGAGGCGTAGGTCGAAGTAGGAAGGATTGTTCGTCGAAAAGATGGGTGCGGAGCTGGAGTCTTCTTCCCTCTATCCCTCCCTCGCTATTCCCTCGATGTTCTTAGATGCTCCCATGTCGCGCGGTTCTTTCTTCCCAGCTACGTAGCCGGGTCGCTCACCATGACTGCTCGACCTACATTCACTACTAAGTCGAAGCATTCAGAGAAGTTCGTACCGATGAGCATGAAAAGAGCGTAAAAAAAACCAATCCTTTCTCATGAACATCTTCGGTAGGCCAGTTGCACCTTCATAATTCAATAAGTATGCTGTAAAATTCACTGAGCACCCCTTCCTCCTGCTCATTGTTCGGTGTTATAAGAAAGAAGACATAGGCAAAGCGAAGATTATGTAAGGAAAGGTCGTCGAAATATGCCGAACTATACTCTAATCTTCCCAATCCAAGTGACACATGACACTCTCAAACGCAGCACCCGAACGGTTGGAGTGCACGGCTCCGGCTAACACCTCTCTTCACGTTGTCAAGCACCCGACGGTATCAAAAGGCTGCGCTTCAAACCAATGAATTAGAGAACTTCAGTGAGCCTTTTGATGGTGCGAACGTAACCGACGCAACTCAGTAAGGATAATAAGCGTCGATAACGATAATGATAGATAACGGGCGTCGACGTTGCCTCTGACTACAGCTTGCACTTTGATTTAAGACATTGCTACGATTACCGGCTGCCTAGTCCTTTTTGGCTTCCAAAATCCAGAAATTCTTATAGTGCGGGAATTGATTCCGTGTAAATGGAAAAGGGAAAAGGAATAAGTCCAATAAAGCCAGGGACGTGAGCATAAATTGCTGAGCAGCCTATGTAAAGTGTATCATCAAATAGCACATGACAAAAAGCGGAGACAAGAATTTGTAAAATGATAAATGCAGCAGCGACTACTGACCAATAGATAACGACCGACGGAATTCTTGCCCATCACCTCCCATTGTAAAGCGTATGTTGTAAATGGTTCTACTGACTTCCAAGAATCAAATGTTGGCACAAAATCCGAATGAAAAAGGAAGAAAAGCATTGCGAGAAAATGATAACCAATGGCCACTTGGTGGTAGTTTTAGAACAGAAAGTGCAACTACGAAGCCCTCCTTCTAACGTTGCTAAATTAAGAAAAAATTACCAGCAGAGAACTCGCAAGAGGCCTCAGTTCGGAAGCTCGCCAATGACAATTCAACCATTCGGAGCACGAAGCGGCTATCTATAAAGAAAGAGTCAATATTTTCGGACACTAGGTTAGTAAAAGACCTGAAAATACTTCTTCTCTCGATGAACCCTCAGGCGCGATTAAAGCAGCAAAGGACGAATTCTCTCCAACTGCAAGTGGCCGCAACAGTCGAGCCAGCTAGAACAAGATCAGGTGCAAAACTGTGAAGTCAGAGAAATTAGAAAAAAAAAACCAACCACCCAAAACCGGTAGTCCTTCCGACTACGCTCCTTGGTGTAGCGATCATAAAAGGCCTCAAGAGCAGCCCTAGGTTCCAACTTAGCATTCGAGGAGCCGCTTGATGATGGCAGGTTCGATTGTAATGCACTGGTAAGAATGATACATCATAAGTCTCGTGCACCAATTGTTGTTAATCTTTCTCAGTAGTTGACTGTTGCAAAAGTTTTGTCCGGAGAAGTAGGAAAATTTCACATCATCAGACGTTAGGGCAACAAGACTATAAACGATGATGTTGGCCAATGGTCAACAATATAAGAACTCATCATCATTACCATGTAAATAAGAAGCTCACGGTTCTCTGTCGTCTGTCAAATCGAAACCCTGCATTACATGAAGAAGCACCTAGAGTGGCAGGGGTCAACTTTGGGGTGAAGCATGAGCAAGGCGTTTGTGAACTCATTGAAGCTTCGCACGCAAATGTAGCGATGCAAGGAGAAAATTTCGAAAATTCGGGTTCCAACTCATTTCAGACACCGGGAAAAAGTCTGGATAAGGGCAGGTATATTTAGAACATCGCGGACAACACTTTTGAAACAGCCCAAAACTGAAAAACAAAGGAGAACCTGATGCGTTGATTCAATTTAGCGATCTTTTCGTTGAGAGCGGCCCTTTGAGCAACCTGTTCGTCTCTCGTAGCGGTAAGATTCCTGATGTGCTCCGCTCCTTTCGCAAGAACAACTGCGTTCGTTGGTTTAATACCGCCAGAATGCAAGTCCGGAATCTATGTAAGAATACTAATCAATCAGCCCAGTATTTGCAATAGTACCTTGACAACAACAGATTGCCATCAAACCTCCATCCATGACACACCCTCAGTTTTTATAAAAGGGATAATATCCGCATACCATATCCATGAGCATGTCGAATCCATCTTTGAGAGCACTTCGACGATTTTGTTCAGCATGTAAATGTAGTATTCGCTTTCTCTCTTCAGGATGTAAGGTTGAATCAGCTTGAACCTTAAATAACAAGAACATTGTTAAATTCGAAATTCATTGATATCTGCCATTTAAAGTGAACTGACCTGGCGGCTGCCTCCTCTGCCTGATTTCACACTGGATGGCGCACTCATAAGAACTAGTTCTTCCTTGAGTTCCGCTTTGTCAGCTGCACCTAACACTGTAACTTTTAGTAAAGGCGAGGGAGAGAGAGAGGGAGAGAGAGAAACCAGGATAGTGAATTTCAAAAAGATATTCTTTAGATTACCAGTAGCGGTTGACCCACTTGTTCCAACGTTGACACGACTATGTGAGGACGGTGACTGTGTGGCTGTCTCGTTGACATGCTCACCAACGGTGGAATATGATGGAGCTTGAGCGAACATTCCAGCATCGCTTATATCACTCAACTGAAACATTTTCCATGTTAATTGAATTATGGAACAAAAAAGGTTGTTCACAGGATCATCCTAACCTTCCACGGATTGACTCCTTCATTAGGATGGATTTCAGCAGTAGCAGGGGCTGAACGATTCTGAGTGAGAGGTGAACTTATCATGGTTGAAGAGCTTCTAAGATTCGGACTCAATGATGAAACCCAATCTTGTTTAGGCCCTGATGGAGGCACGAACATCTTCTCCTCCTGCAAAAGTTAACTGTTGGATCACTTATGATTCATTAATTCTTTATAATTTTCTACATTCATCCGCATATAATTAAAAGAGCGAAAGGAGGAAGCATAAATCCGCTGGCGAAATTTACGATCAGCTTTTGAGCAATCTAACATTACTCAAAAACACTTTGAAAAGTTTAAAACGCCAATTTGAACAGACGACAATCCAAACCGAACGGATGTTTAATAAAACGACAAAAGCGTAGATGACATATTCAACATAGCAACTCCAATAAGGGGTGAAAATGAAGCGCAAAGAACGAGTACTGTTATGACCATCCAGGATGAACAAAATATGAGCCACTACCTACATTAGCTGCAGGAAGCTCGAGTAGAAAATGCTGCTAGGAAGAATAGCTGCAAGTACGTTTCATATGAGATCCCCCGTAAAAAAAATTACTGCACAAACTAAAGGACACCTTAGAGTGCAAGCAACCTTCTTACCTCAAATAGAGCTCTCAGGGTGCCACCTTTCATTGCCAGAAAAATTCTTTTATATAAATACACGTGAGAAATTTGACGTCACACATGAAATAAAACAAATACCTTTTGAACGGAGAGCAGATGAGGGTCAAGTCGATCTGATGTTGAAGGCTGTTTGACATCTACGTGACCGCCCCTGCCGAAATGATTTTGTACGTCGATTGACGTCAAAGTAGAGGGAGAACTCAAAATTGTGGGCATTTCTGGTGATAACTGAACCGGCATTGTTCTGACTACGACAGGACTTCGAAGTTCGGATCGTAACTGTGACGGAGGTGTGGAAGGACCTGAAGCTTGGCTTGAGGTGCAATCAGACAACACGAAAAACACCGCATACATATAATAGTACATACCAGCTCCTACTCCGAGAGGTGTAGCTGGGCCAAGAGGTGTAACATTACCACCACTAAGGGACGATGCCACAGCAGCCAGAGGACTCTGAGCCGCAGCTGCCAATGGGCTATCCATCCACCAAGGACGAGCAGGAGTAGGAGGAGGACAACCCATGGAAATCTTATAAAACAGATTTTGTTACTGATGAAAAGTTGAATGTTAACAACTCTTTACTCGATAGAACTCACTGCAGATCCGGACAAAATATTCGGAGGGGATTGTAAAAACTGGGGCATATACTCCAACGTATTCATTACATCTTGATTACCAAGCTGAAAAATGTGCATTGGATATAGCAATTGAAAATTATACATTAAAACGTATGAACAAACAACAGAATAAGCGATCGCATCCTATGAAGCCCTGTACAGAACTATCAAAACACCCATTCCTATCGCTTTTGTGAAGTTGGTTTGTTATGGAATTTGTTTCGTTCATTTGAGCACAAATTATCAAAACATGGAAGAAGTAGTTAATTGTTTGCCATGAAAAAAAAGCAAAAGAATGAAGTTATCAACATTTCGGGTGCCCAATCACATACGAAACAATGTTCGGTGGGAATCCCCTCTATATCTCTGGACTCCTAGTCCTCTCCGTTTTCGAATCGTTCGTGAACCGTTTCTCAGCCGAAGACCCCTTGGGCGACAAAAGACCGTGAACCACATGCGTAAAAAGTAGGAAGGGTACGTTGAAAATGATCAGGTATGATTTTATGTTAGCTTTGCAAAAATAAATGAATAATTCCATAGCAGACAGTTATTGATTCACTCTGATATTTTGAGAGCCCTCGATATTTTAACAAACTGGATTCAAATCAAAAATGAGGGGCAACGGAACCTTCAAGACGCCGTTTGGCTAGTTCAATATGGTTTTCTTGAATCTGCACAACTATCACCACAACCACGGTATGTTGAATTTATGATCTGACATAGTAGGCACCATTAGGTGAGGCGCTGTCCAGCGACACCTTTCATATATGAACAACGTTGTGCCCCAATACTACCTCCTCGTAGAACACTGCTGATGACATAAGAATCTTCCTCTGCGGATATAAGCACTAATGAGAGAATATGACTTTCCACAAGTACTCACCAGGAAGTTAGTGCTTTTCCACTGCATACCGTTTGCTCGTGGATTATTGGAAACGTGCGGCACAGTATTATACCCAGAGGCTGTTGAATACTGCGGTTGCGCGGTGTGTGTGGAAGACATCATCAACATCTGAGAAGTAATGGATGAAGACTGCCGTGTCGGCATTTGTGTAGATGATGCAGCGGCTTGATTGCTGAAATAAGGTGTCAATCAACATAGGCCATTACATAATGATGGAAAATGTTTGGAGAAGGCAAGACGCACCTGTAATCCACAAGCATATTGGCTACAGCGTAATCCTGTGCTTGTCGCGACAACGAAGTTGGACCTCGGTTTCCGACGAGAGCAGAACGATTCTGCGCACTGTCTAACGACATGTGGGGTTGAGAAGGTAACACCATGGGATGCACAGGTTGAACATTCGGTGGAGAAGGATCTATCATAGATTGACCAGAAGAGGAAGGACCAATATTCTGCAGAGTATCGTCACGACAAGAGGAAGAAGGCTCATCGTCGTAGCGATCTGCAAAGTTAGTCCTCGATTGTTTTTTTTTTATTTGACTACAAAAAATTCAAAAGGAATTCGAAGGATAACTATTATAAAAACGCCCAGAAGGCCATACCCACACCAACACACACACACACACCGACACACAATCCAACATACACACGCCGAAATACATACATACAGGATCGTAGAGTCTCAAGAAACATGAAACTGAGTGTGTACGAAGATGGCAAAACAGCGATAACGAGTTATTGGCAAAACAATCGAAAAAGAAGTCGTCAGACACCTGATTTGTCTTTCAATCTGCATTTTCGATTTCTCAGAAAACAAGAGAACACCTTCCTCATAGCTCCCTATCTATTCTGACCCGCCGCTGTACCCGTTCTCGTATTTTTCAGCTTTTGGGTCGGAAACTCGATCTCTCGCGAAGAATTCCTTTTTACATCACCACAAGCGAATATAGGCAATCAAGTCAAGCTTCTTAATGTTGCGTCTTAGAACGGAACACAAAGAAGACAGGTAGAACAGGTTATCGAAGATTGAAAGTATCCCAATGACACTTATATGAGTCACGACCTTCACACAGACTCACCGAGACTAGCCATAATTTCTTCGAGACTCGGTTGCAAGGATAACAGGCCAGGTTGCATGATATCAGCGTTTCCGCTCTGACCTGAACTTTGAAGCCGTCATTTTCCACTCACATTCGATTCAAACACTGCTGATTACGTGCCACTNACCAAAATCTTTAGGGTTGGGAAACATATACGGTTGGCTCAACGATTCGAAGAGACTGTCCGTAAAAACGTTTTCTAAGTCGTCGAAGTCACAACAATCCGTGGACATATTTTTCGGAGTCTGACTTCTTTGTTCTCGCTTTGCGGGACGTTCATATAGTTCACGATCGAACCGCTCACTCTGCCCTTCAGAATACGTCTGAAGTAGTCATGTATAACAAGGACTTCAGGGCAATAATCACAGGATACGAAGAATCTCAAAACGACGACAAAAGCATGCATATCACTAGAACAGATTAAGCAGAAATTGTAGAGAAAATAATCAGAAAAACATACAACATTCACTGAGTCACAAATCAGATAAGCTTACCCTTTTTCGTTTTACAGGCTTCTCATGCTGTGCTCTTCTATTCTTCATATAATACCTCCATTTCTTATACTGGGCACCAACAGCTTCCATTCTTCGCTTCCAATACATCCCCTCCAAGACGCTGCCCTAGATACGGTAATAGAAAGAAAACTTGTCATTTGAGACAGATATCAATTGAAACCCACTTCGATCTTTGCATGCGTTGTGTCATCATCAGGAACAGCAAAATAACAGAAAGGAGTCTTTTTCTTCGATTTTTTAGCAGGCATTCGGACTGAATGATAGACCATATGATAAAAAATATTTGAACAACAAAACGGCACCTACATTCAATGTAATAAGCTCGCCAAATAACATTATTCAAACGAATACGCTGTTTCCAATGCAATCGAAGGCCTTTGAAATCCTTCCATTTCGGGGTTGTCATTTTGCTAAGAAATTATGGCAAACATATCAACAATACCGAAAAAGGAGTTACTGAAAAGAAAACTTACTTATAAGCCACTTTGATGCACTTGTTAAGCTTGTTCAGAGAAACATCAATTGCTATCGATTGCGTCTTTTTGGGTCCAAATTTGTAGAATGTGACAGGTTTCTCATACTAGAACGATGATTAAAGAAACCAGCAATACTCCTTAACCCACAACAATATCTGAGAAATATTAGTATTTCAGTTTATAGTTCACGAATATTTCTTAGGCAGAGGTTTCATTCACAAAGAAGATGAAGAAGGCAACAGAGTGGTGGAGTTCTTACCAAAGCAGCACGTTCTCCTTTGGTAGTGCCTGTGCCAATATCATCAGGTTTTTCATCATCCTCAACGACATCAACCTGAACAGGCTTCGGTCAAAGTCCGAAGAACAAAAGTACCACGTAAAAAAACTGGATGATTATAAGCAGCAAAAACATTTTGGGTCGTTCGGAAAGTTCCTGCTGATTTTGGATGCACTAGGTTAATCAATTTTTTAGAGAGTCTTCGATACAACATCAGGTAGAACATAAGTCTTTTACTGAGTTTGGAGGGGACATCTTACCGCATCTCTCAAATAGTTCGGACATTCCACCACCGAACAATCATTTGTTCAGATCTCTGCGAACTGTTTTCATGGGGATTGCAGAATGCACTTTTATTTTCTGCGGATTGCAAAATGCACTTTTCTGATTTTTGATTCTCTTTGAATAGTGTTTTGATTTTATGTCTGAACCATGTATGAAAGTAGGAGAATGAAATTTATGGAAGGATGGTCAACCATCATAAAGCAAAGTGAAGGATACATTGCTCTATGGAAAGCTATACTGGACTTCAGGAATCGGCGGAATTTTTCCAAACAACCCAATACCTTGGAAGGGCGTGCATAAGAAAGGGGATTACTGCAGCTGCAAGCAAGCAATTCAGGCTATGTAAAACGGATCATCAACTACAAAGAAGGCGGAGTTCCGATCTGCGTTTTCACATGATCGAGGCCCGCTATACAGACTTTCTCTAGCAATGCACACCTCTGCTACCTGAGGGACGAA